GCGACCCCGGCGGGGGCTGGCGGAACCCGGCGGCCGGGGCCCCGCGCCGACCCTCATTTCTGGAAACTTTGTGCCGGCCCCCACACCTGCTCTCGGGCGGTTCTCGCATCCTCTGGGCGGCCGGGAGGGGCGAGGCCCGGGGCCCTCCGCAGCGCCCCCTCCTCGCCGGCTCTGGGCGCGCGCCCCCCGGCTGCGCCCCGGTGCGGCCGACGTCCCGGCCCTCGGGCTCCTTAGCCGGCGTCCTATGGGCTCCCCTCCTCTCCTCCTCCTTCCTGACCCTCTGCCCTCCGGTCGCGCCATGGTCTGTCCAGCTCCTCACCCGCCATCAGCATCCACCCGCTCCGAGCCTCTGGAGCTGTCGGCGGCCCTTTGCTTCTTCCATAGGTTTCTGGTGCATTGATAGAAGCAATTTGACTTTCAGCAATGCCAAGTATTCAACTTGAGTGTTTCTCTGCGGTGGTAGATTGGGGTGCACAGTGCTAACGTTTTTTTTTATTTTTCCTAAGTACCCTCCTAAGTACCCTCTCTTCAAAGCGAAGTTGAGTTGTTTGTGAGAGGAGTCGCCTGCTGGAGCTGCCTTAGTGAATTGTATAACTATATTTTATTTAGGTAGATGTTGCCATTGGTACCAGCAAGTGTTATGGTAACTGGGCATCCCAGAGGCGAGGGAAGGAGGAGTGACTTACAATTGCAGTTCTGCTGTGTAGGGATTTAAAACAAAAAACAAAACAACAACACAACTACCTTGTACTTTTCATCCAGCAGGACCTCAAGGCATTTGGCATGTGCTATAGCCGTTCATTGTAGTTTTATTAGGAGGGGTAGGTAGAGAGCATTGCATCTCATTTTACAGATGTAAAAACAGAAGCAAAGAACCAAGTCCTGATTCTTTACTAATCTTAAAGGAATATGGACCAAGATATTTAACCCTGAGTTTCCTGGAATTCCTAGTCCATTAGGCTACACAGAAGGAAAATGGAATGTTGGAGCACCCTCCCTGAGATTGTACAGAGCAGTTAAAAGTCAGAGAGGCTGGGGCCGGGTGTCAGCGTGGTTGAGGCTCTGCTGCGTAACAGAGTTAAGTGGTACTGGACAAGTCACAGCTGCTCCCTACATGTTTCCTGTTGTTTAAGATGAGGGGAAGAAAGGTGCTGTCTTCTTCGAAAAGTTGCGTGAGTGTGTCTAGAGGCTCCACTCCCTTGAGCTGCATTTGGTGATTGTTAGTTGTGGTGGATTCATAAAGGCTCCCATTCTTGGGCTCCTTTTAAGAAATGCAGAGAATGAGGCACCCCGGAATGAATAACTGCCTCTTCACCAGGGACACCTGAGAATTCCCGTCAGGGACCGGCTGAGGCAGGGACCCTGACCTGGGGTGGGGGGGGGGAGGGTTGTCGGGTGGAGGTAGGAAGGCGCCCTGCACAGGCGGCTTTGACACATGGGCCCTATTCCTGCCTCCAGCTCTGACTCATCTTCTGACGCTTGGGGGAGGAGAAGGTAGTTGCTTGATATTTTTGGCTTTCCCCCATAAAACAGGAGACGGTTTCCTTCATTCCAAGTCGTTTTAACGTCAGTGTCAAACGTGTCTATGCTGAGTTCTCATCTGAAATCTGTCATATTGGTTGAATGCAGGTATGATTTCTGTAATATTCCTTAATAGAATGGCATAAATGTGTATTCATATAAAAAAAATACTGCTCAGGTGTGTAAACCCAGGCAATCCTTTAAAGCTATAGCATGAAAACCTTAACATTTTTAAATAATGGTCTATAGGGAGGAATTTGTGTTTGGTAAATTCCTTTGCATTTGGGATTTTAAGGCAAGGTAGATTGAAAATGCTTTTTCTCACTGTCACCAGAAATTCATTAATAATTCTCTTTGTGAAACTTAGAATTTTACAGATAAGGTTAAAGCCTTCTTTTTAGTATCTTTCCCAAAAGTAACTGCTGTGTATATCTTTATTGATTTGTGTATAACTTCTTAGACTTTTCTAAGCATTTTTATGTGTCTGCGCAAAGTGATTTTTTAATTGAAATGAATTATTATAAAATTATTATAAAATTAACCAGCCCTGTTCATAGAGTTTTGGCTTCTGTCCACAAGAGGTAGCATGTGTTTTAAGTACAGCAGGTTGTAAAGGTTCATTACCTCTGTAGCATGGTAGTATTTCTCAGGACGATGGGCAAATGATCCCTTCTTAAAAAGCCTTAAAGCACTTAAATCATTAAGATCCTAGGTGTTACTCTCAGATGAAAATGAAAACTTTTCCATTAAAAAAAATATCTAGGACTACTAGTGTATCTACTCTATAAGGAAGCATAAAAGGGAGCGGAAGGCAGGGAGAGTTGCTAAAGCAACAGCCCCTGGGTATAAACTTACAGGTGAACATTTAAGGTAGTAGTTTTACTTATTTATGAAAGCTTCACTGGGAAACAAAGGGAAGCGTTAATGTGGGCACAGTTGAGATCAGTAGTTTCAGGAGACACGTGAGTTCAAACAGAATTCACATCAGGAGTTTATATATTAGAGGACTTTTGCCATGCTGAAGGTCCAGTGCTGAATATTGGGGTAGAAGGCAAATAAGGTCCCTGAAAACCGATGAAACTGATAGGCTAATAGTGACATTGGCCAGAATTGTAATGTTTCTGAATTCTTGGACATCAACATTTTGTTTACTTAACTTTTTTGTGAATTATAACACAGAGAAAAGCATACGAAACAAATGGGTAAATTACTGATTTTTTTTTAAGAACACCCAGCTGTAACCATCTCGAAGGTCAGGAAGCACCTTCCTCCCGTACTTTGCCAATGACAACCTCTCCCCTCACCCCAGAAGTAACCTAGCCTCATTTTTGTGGAAATCACTTCCTTTCTTGTTGCTAGTTTCTCTCCCCTAAATATTAATGTCTAAACAAGTTTTGTTTTGTCTGTTTTCATCTTTATGCAAATGGAATCAAAGTAGGTATTCTTTTAAATACTTTTTTTGGGGGGTCAGCATCATACGTGGGTATATATATACATGTGTGTATATAGGAATATACATACAGACACAGTTTTTTAAAATTCTTGCTGCATGGTATTTTTTTAAAGATTCGTGTTGTTATCTGTGACTGTAATTAGTTAATTTTTGTATGAACATAGCACAAGTTAACTGTCATCTGTTGGCGGACAGCTGGGTCGTTTCTGGTCCAGGGCAGTTATGAACAGGGCCTTCAGGTGTGTTTATCTGCAGCTTTACTGGGTGATGCCTCATTTCCTAAGTGGTTGGTACCAATTTACATTCTTCCAGTGGTGTCAGCCTTGAATTTATAATCCACGTATTTGTTGTTAAACCTCAGTATGTTTGGATATCACAGTATGTTTGGATAACCACAGTGTGAATGAATGAATGTCACCTAGGTGGTCTGATCCCTGGTCCTTTGTGTACCATTGTATTTATATATACTTATAAGTTTAATTGTGTGGGTTGGACCAACATACCACCCAAGGCCAGAGATGGTTTTTCCACTCTATTTGGTTGACAAATACCCAAGAAAATCCTTCCCTTTTTTTTTTTAAAACAGATGTGTAGTTATAGGAAAATTTAAATATGCAAAGTGAAGAATAAAAGTGTCTAGTTACCTAGAAGTCTTACTTTTTTTAGATTTTTTTTTTTTTTTTTTTTTTTTTTTTTTGCGAGAGAGAGAATGAGAGACAGAGAGCATGAGAGGGAGGAGGGTCAGAGGGAGAAGCAGACTCCCTGCCGAGCAGGGAGCCCGACGCGGGACTCGATCCCAGGACCCTGGGATCATGACCTGAGCCGAAGGCAGACGCTTAACGACTGAGCCACCCAGGCGCCCGAAGTCTTACTTTTTTTAAGGGATTTTTTTTTTGAAAAGAAAAAAAGATTTTTTTAAAGTTTGTTTATTTTTTAGTAATCTTTACACCCAACATTGAGCTTGAACTCACAACCCTTGCATTAAGAGCTGCATGCTCTTCCGACTGAGCTAGCCAGGTGCCCCTCCCTAAAAGTCTTTTAAGGGTTTTGGGTGAATCCTACCTCTGGGGCCACTCGATGCTGCCTTGACTTGGTGAATGCCTGCCGTGATGCCCAGCCCTATGTGTAGGTCGGCAGTGCTGGCTTTATAGTGTGTGACGTGTGCAGGAACCCAGGCCAGTGCTTGTTAAAGTACCCTTGGAGAACCCTCCGAGAGTGCTGTGTGCGCGTGCAGATCCTTGAAGAGGCACTGAGCACAGACCAAGGCTCCTCTTCCCTTGGCGTTTCCAAAGGAACCACAGCTTCTTTGCTATGGGAATAAAGTACTCTCTTAGAATCTTTAAAATGTACTTCTTTCCAAATCTTCCTTAGTATAACGTAGTAGAGATAGTTAAAACTTGGTTTGAAACAATTTCTGCTTTTGAGGAGACAGTTGCCAGGTTAACTTTAATCGCTTGTGTTTGGTGTTGCTAGCTGGATTTAAAGCTAGGTGTGTGTGGAGTGTGTGTCCAGGAGAGACAGAGGTGGGGGGAGGGGAGAGAGGGAAGGGAAGGGGGTAGGGATAGGGAGAGATGGGGAGGTTATGTCAGGGCAGGTATTTGTTGAGTATCTACAGTGCCTAGTATTATTTGCTAACAGTTTGCTTCCATCCTTAGAGTAGAATGTTCTACAGTTCTGTAGGTTTCGAAAATACCTTCAGGGCTATCCCTTTTCTTAGTTGGAGGGGTAAAGGAAGAATAGTCCAAAGAATGTGAGATTTGTAGTTCTTTTTTTATTTCTTCTGTAAGGCATCTTAGAAGAGGGCTATATGCTCTATTTTCCGGCTTTCATAAATCATGAGAACTTTTTCACTTACATGTTAAAGTTTTTTTCAGATTCTCTAAAATGGTCATAATTTTAAAAACTGTGTAAATTAAAGAAAGTACAAAAAGGAGTGTGCAAGCCTCTGAATCCGAGTGATGGGGGGAGGAGTCCTATTTGTGTTCGTTGGTACCCCTTCCGACGGGCAGTACTTGATGGAAGAGCTCCGGATTCCACCTGTTGTAGGGAAGGGGGTGGAGGGTGGGTGCCGAGGCCGTGGCCCTACCGGCCACACAACGTCACCTACACCCACGGCCCTCCCAGCTCCCCTTGCCACTTGCCATTCTTGCTCTTTGCACTGACCCAGTTTTAACTACCCCTACTAGGGCACCAACAGTTTGGCCAGCTTCTCCCCCGCCACCGTGCCTTCTCAAAGTCTCCGCCCAAGGGGCCCTTTTGAAATTCACATGCAACTGCTGGTCTTCTGCCTTTGTCCCAGAATAGTTTCAGCATCACAGGCCTATGCATAGCAGCAGATCTTGATTCCCTAGGTCTTTGAGTTTGTGGGTAACACAGGAGAGGACTCTTCAGGTAGAGCATGTTGCTTCTGTTGAACTAGTAAACATTTCTGTGGCAGATAGAGCGAGCATGGGAAGCACCAGCCTTCCTCGTCTGGAAGAGAGAGACTATGAGGTGAGCTTGCTTGAAGTTTTGAGGAAGTACTGGTAAAAATAAAATCCGGGAGAGTACTGTCAGCTTTGCAAGTTACATACAAATTTGAAATCAAAATTTATAATTAAGAATTTCACTAATTTAGCCCTTGTGCCGCTCTGGTGTCCTTGCCAAGTTCTCTTACCAAATCAGCTGTGAATCTGGCTCCCATGTGAACAGCAGGTGCAGGCCAGAGCCTAGAGGGGGGGTTTGTGTTGACAGCCATTTGTTGTAGTTAATTTTCTTCTATTCCAAATAATTTTTATTTTTAGAAATTTCAATCATATACTGGGGCACCGCCTGGGTAGTTTAGTTTTTAGTTGGTTAAGTGTCCAGCTCTTGATTTCGGCTCAGGTCATGATCTCAGGGTTGTGAGATTGAGCCCCGCGTCGGACTCTGTGCTGGGTATGGATCCTGCTTGAGATTCTCTCTCCCTCCCCCTCCCCCCTTCCTCATGCTCTCTCCCTCCTTCCCTTCCTCTCAAAAATAATAATAAATGAATAAATAAATTGCAGTCATATAGAAAATTACAAAGAACAAATTTATATCATTACCACCCCAAATTGGTGATACTTTCTTTTATCAAAAAAAAAGCAGGGTGAGGATTATAAAGTTGAATCTTCCTTGGGGCCCTTCCTTTCCTTCCCCACTGAGGTAACCATGCCCCATGAATTTGATAGGTTTCACTTCAGCCCACTTGATTTATTTAAATATCTGTTCATTTAAAATAGTGCATTTTTGATGAATGTCAGATGGACACAAATCTTCAATAGCCTTTATTTTTTTTTTCTTAAGATTTTATTTATTTATTTGACAGAGAGACAGCGAGAGAGGGAACACAAGCAGGGGGAGTGGGAGAGGGAGAAGCAGGCCTCCCGCAGAGCA